TGACTTGGGACCGAGTACAAATTAAAACTCGACTTCTTGAGTCGAGTCGGACCGGACCGGACTTTTCACATCCCTATATGTGTCCAACATTATTACAGTGTATCAAACCATAACCAAGTAGTATCGATTCGATCTATTAAATAAAGAACTTGTTCTCTCATATAGTTTTCTTTATGCCTTGCCTGGGAAATTGCAATTCATAGGTCGCAAGGTTTAACACTACCACAAATGGTAATAAATCTTGAAAATAAGGAACTTGCAACTGATTCTACATTTGTAGGAATATCAAGGGTCCGTATATTTACTGACCTTTTCGATGGTGCTTTTTCTTTTGAGATTGCAAATATTAGGACAAATGCATGTTTGCAACAAAGAATATTGGAAGGACAAAGATTACTTCCTTATAAATTTATTATAAATGTAATCTTATAAGTAATACCAATCTCTGGGAGCGATTGGCGGACTATTGACGATTGATGAAACTATTGACGAAACTATTATTTTCTGTGTCCCACACACATACTACCTGGATTTTTGTTTTCTGGCCAACCTTTAGTTGGATACTGTCTACATATTTCTCACAGCTCCCAAATTGGTTGTTTCGGGTTTTTTTTCGCTGTTAGTGCAGCACCCAAATTGGTACGTCCTCACGAACTTTCGCTTATCCGCAATTAGGTGTGTACTCCTTTTATAATACTTCCTGCTACGGTATTTTTCCAGGACCCTATTTTGTTGAAGGGGTACTCCAACTTCCAACATTGGCGTTCATGATACATAGTATCACTTCTAACTTTGGCGCACCTTGGGTTGGTATTCACGCTGGTGTATCTTGTTTTTTTGTTTACAAGGACTTGGGTTTGCGCCACACCTCTCACTGGGTATAATTATAAAACAAAAATATTAATTCATAAAAGTTTTATTGGTTTACTTTAAATTTTGGGACACATTAAGTTTTTATGAACGTAGTTATTGTCGCAGATCATAATGGATTTTTTAAGGGTGGGTGTTCGTGGTTCATGTCTTTATATACGCAATTTTGTTGTAACACGGTTCTTTTTTTGTAAAAAAAAAAAAAAAAAAAGCGATGTAATACAAATCAT